GAAATTAGAATAAAATAGTAGTGTTATCTCATAAGTAACTATAATGTTATCTTATTTTTATGAAGGTCTATAGCAATGAAGAGAGCATCTTTTTGTTATACGAACATGCCAGGAAAGAAAGAGTGGAAAAACGTACGTGGCGCTTCTATCAAAAACTTTATGAAAACCATCACAGTTAGACGTAAGAGAGTGAACATTTGTTGTACAACACCGAATTTAGATTGAATTACTACTTTTAGAATATATTTGTTTTTAAGATATTTTTACATTTTCACTTTGCATTGTAGTGACATAAATTGTTTGTTGAATTTTACAAAAGGTTTGATTTTGCTCTTTTTCTTTTACATTTATAGTTGTAATACTATAAAGCTATCAACAATTGAATGATTACACAAGGTTAACTCATATAATTTTATATCGTTGGATGGATTACGTATATTACGAAGAGCTTTATAATCGACTTGGGTCTAGGGCAACGTGCTCACCATTAGCTTGGGTCCGGGGCACCGTGACCTGGTTATTGCATCATAAAGGCATTGTAACGCATACGCCTGCGGTTAACACTTTCTGCATATGTTCTTAATTTTTCCTTTTCCCAGACGAGGGATCGAAATATTGGCCGTGGGGAACGAAACATTATCTCCCGCTACGTCTAGCACCAAACGCGCTCCACGTCAGGAATAAAGCCTGTGTCATGTTATGAATTGTAACATGGCATATACCATCAAGCATTTTGAGTTTATTTGCGAGAGAGAGAGAGAGAGAGAGAGAGAGAGAGAGAGAGAGAGAGAGAGAGAGAGAGAGAGAGAGAGAGAGAGAGAGAGAGAGAGAGAGAGAGAGAGAGAGAGAGAGAGAGAGAGAGAGAGAGAGAGAGAGAGAGAGCGAGAGAGAGAGAGAGAGAGAGAGAGAGAGAGAGAGAGAGAGAGAGAGAGAGAGAGAGAGAGAGAGAGAGAGAGAGAGAGAGAGAGAGAGAGAGAGAGAGAGAGAGAGAGAGAGAGAGAGAGAGAGAGAGAGAGAGAGAGAGAGAGAGAGAGAGAGAGAGAGAGAGAGAGAGAGAGAGAGAGAGGAGAGAGAGAGAGAGAGAGAGAGAGAGAGAGAGAGAGAGAGAGAGAGAGAGAGAGAGAGACAGAGAGAGAGAGAGAGAGAGAGAGAGAGAGAGAGAGAGAGAGAGAGAGAGAGAGAGAGAGAGAGAGAGAGAGAGAGAGAGAGAGAGAGAGAGAGAGAGAGAGAGAGAGAGAGAGAGAGAGAGAGAGAGAGAGAGAGAGAGAGAGAGAGAGAGAGAGAGAGAGAGAGAGAGTTGGGTTCAATTGTATTAAGTACATTCGACTCAACTTCATCCTCCATTGAATCTTTGCATTGAAATATAAAGTAACGTATGCCCTAAATTGTATATGACTAATATATATATATATATATATATATATATATATATATATATATATATCTATATATATATATATATATATATATATATATATATATATATATATATATATATATATATATATATATATATATATATATATATATATATATAGCACCGCCTGTTTTTTAATGTAAAGCTGTGTAACGGCAATTATATCCCGGACATTTCATCGTTTTTGTGACCATAATAACTGATGTTTATAATGATGTTTATGTTGTTAATGAACAACAGAAAGAAAGAGTATTATTATGGGTGAATGAGTTAGAAATGAGCAAAATGTGGTGGCTGTAAACAGACAATGATTTTATTTGCGTGTAGTTGTCTTATTTTTCTAGTCATCTTGTTTTAAGCCGCTTGGTTTCAATTTTTCTTTTTTTCTGACATACTAAAAATCGAAGATCTCGCAGATGATGAGATTAATCAAATTCTGTTGTGCAGGTTCTGTTTGGATTATGTGTGTTCAAGTTTTCTCTCGTGTGCATGAACAAATTGTTAAGTATTTCGCATTGTAAATCTGTTGTCCACTTTCAGCCGTTGTACAAAATGTTATTCCAGGAAGCTTGAAAAACATCTTGCAAAAAGTAAAATCACTGTCATTCAAGAAATTTACCCGTAGGCAATTCTTCGTACCTAGAGGGAAAAGCTTAAATTATTTGCAGGGGTACTTTGTAGAATTTAAAAAAAAAATATTTATGAATTTTGATAAGACTGGTGTCTACATTATGATCAAATTTTCTAAGACTCGTGTCTACATTACTAAATTTTTTGAATATATAATTCTAGCATATATATATATATATATATATATATATATATATATATATATATATATATATATATATATATATATGTATTACATGAATTTGATAAGGCTGGTATCCATATTGCTTAATTTTATTTAAATCTGAACTTTGATAAGAATAATATAATATATAGTAGGTGGGTCATGTTTGTTTGCTATTGCGTTTTTCTCGTAACAAGAACACCGTTTAGAATAAATTCCCATAACTGCATTATATAACATAAATATGGATTTATTTCGAAACAAATTACTAGTCACTGAGCATTACATTTAAGTCACACACTGTGGTGAGCATTATTCTACTCTAATTTTATTCAACATATCCAAAAATAGGTGCGTCTTCAGGTGTTTAATGTAATGTACATACGTCAATAGATTATTTTGCAAATAGAAATGCAATATGACTTTTTAAACTGAAACTATTGGAGGTACGTATTTACAAATGACAACATACTTTCACTTATATTTCATCAATCTCACCTTTATGTGGTAGCTTTTAAGATTCGCAAATTTGCAAAATTAAAATCTAATTTATTTTAGTGAAATGTGTATTAATTAGTTGTAGTTGTGTCGACTAATTATAACTCAAAGTAAGAGAAATTTGTACTTGTGTATATTTTGAAGTAATGTTTACATGCAACCCTTTTTTTTGTTTTGTAGACCGTCATGAACACATTTTAGAAAAGTGTGTACATGTACAAATTTATGTTACTTCGGATTGCGTTAACGTGTCAGCGCTCTCTACCGTCGTAATATTATGCTACATTGTCCGTCTAATTACACTGATAACCTTCATTGAATCGCTTCTGATTATTTTAACGTAGTACAGCGTCCCATTAATAACGATATCCCACTGAAAATATATAAATGTGATATGATGAGGGAAAAAACCATGGCAATTGCATGTTAAGAGGATTGCAAAAAATATAGTATGCATTTAGTCCACTCGAGAACAGGATGAAACAAAGGAAAATATAGAAGTTAAGGTGTACGGGTAATTGTAACAAACGAGTTGCTAAAGCAGAATTATTTTATTTTATCAAACAATTTTGCGTTCATGAATTTTTTTTTTCCAATGCTCATTGATATTCATAATATTGTGACTTTCAGAGAACATGCTGGTGGTCAGTAATAAAGAACTTGATAAAAGCAAATGATGATAGAACTATCAAAATTAACGCCATTTATGATTATTTTAGGAGCATAAGCTCATCCAATGAGGACAACAACGAGAGAGATTAAAAAGAGGAACCATAAAATAAAGAACACTACACAGTAATAAATGAACTAATCACTTTATGAGAAAGTTTATATCTAAATGAGCCTCAGGGTAAAGATTAAAGCTTGAATTATTATTGTTAATAGTATATTACACATTTTTCTTTCTGCCTTCGTAAACTTTTTAAACTTGATTTTCAATATAGGCGTTGGCTTAGAAACCTGAACCTGGTTGATTAAGCCAACATATAAAAACATAAAAACAAGGAATATAAATAAATTCCTGTCAAATATAGATCAGCCACTGTACTGAGCTGTCTTTGCTGATCTTCTTAACAATAGAACTTCGCTTTTATCCAGGAGAAAATAATTTGCTATCTAGACAGAGACGTGTTTTAGTAATGGATAATTCACAACGAACAACATTTTTGTTTTAATTGCTTAACAAAACTTTTAAAATAGAAGTCGCAAAACATGACTTTGCACTTTTGTGGTTTTAGATAGGATATGGAGAATTGGTTTATAAAGAAAATCAATCAACACTGCTATAAATGGTAATATGTTCAATGCTATAATGAACATGCACGTGGATGTAAAATCTTGCGTCTTCTAAAATGAAAACAAATCGAGGCGTTTCATATGCAATCCTGGAATTAGACGAGGGGAAAATCTGTCTTCTTTATTATTTGCCAAGTAAAAAACATCGATAATCACACTTGAGCTCATATCGTAATGGCGTTACAGTTGATTTACTGATCTGATGTACAGTAAGACATTTAGAACTATTTGTTTTTTACTATATGCAGGTAATACCATTGTATTATCAAAGAATCCAAAAGATATGCAAAATAAAAACCTGACGTACTACTTCAAAAATTACAAGCTTATCATAAACACAAGCAAACACAAAGTTATGATTTTCGGCAAATGTATGAATTGATAAAAATATTTAGTTCAAATTAGAAGATTCGGAGCTTGGAATTGTCATAAATTTTAAATATTTAGGATTAATCCCTGCGAAAAATGGTAGATATTTATTGAAAATAAAAAAATTAATTTATCATTGTAAGAAGTTTATGTATTTTCTTAAGAAAATAATATTAAAGTTTAATTTGCTTGTTGACTGTCAATTGAAACCTTTTGGTATGATAATAGCTCAAGTTCGTACATGCTCAGTTGACATCTGGAAATTGAAAACATTGGATATTGCAGAACGGGTTCATTTGAACTATCTGTGATCTATACTACAAATTTTAAATAGATCCACACCCACGTACACGCTTTATGGTGATAATGGTTGAACACATCTACATTTACAAATAAAGAGGAGAACGGTTATAAGCTATTTAATAATTATCATTAATGGTAAACAGACAAAACTACAAATCTTACATGATGTATCTGAGGGTTATTTTTCTTCAAGATTATAATAATGGTTTACTCAGAAGTAAATCCATTAAGAGCATGCATAACATATTATAGGAACCGTGTTTCAGTATTTGGGAATTCATCAAAATATACACAATAAATCCCGATTAGATACAATCTTTGACCACTCTTGTGGCCTAGTGGTTAGAGCGTCCGCCTCGGGTACTTGAAGTCGCGGGTTCGAACCCCAGCCAAAGACTTGTAAAAATGGCACTAACAGCTGACTAACAATAAGCGCTCAGCATTATGAGGTTAGTGTTAGAATTGGTCGGCATGTTGACAGGAAAAAATATCAGAATGAAGCAGGAACAAACGGTGCCGGAAGAGTTTAGAAGCAGAAGACCGTGATTTAAAAAAAAGGAACGTGAGATCATACCAGTAAGTGTTCGATCTACCTAAATGTTGACATCAATATATTACATAGAGTGTTCGGGCGATGTGGGCCGCTTACAGTCTAAGGATTAACCGCTAGAGCCGTTGGATTAACGGCCGTTCACTGTTGTATAGCTGTTTTGAAACTTCCCAGAAGCACTTTCTGGCAGCTCATTTCTTCATGGTACCTGGGAAAAATTTGCTTTTTCTGTGGTTCAGAATACAGTGTACGCTTTTACATCATCGTCTTGTACATTAGGCATATAAGCTTCCTCTGGGAATTCGTCTATAAAACTAACGTGGCAGCTTTAGTCAGATGAAATACAAGCTGGGAGGGATTTACTCAGATATCAAACAATTTCTTTTAGAATACCACATTACAGCGACAATTCATTTAACGCTATTCAGTGGTATACAAGGGAAAATAGCGCTCAAAGGGGTTTTGGCACCCCAAAATCTCAGATGCTCGGTCCACACACCCCTTCCCGTTAGTATGGTACTGAAGGCTAGTCACATTACAAAACAAAGTTTTGGTCAAGAAAATGAATCAGTGAAGCGCATTATAAACAAAAGAAAAGGAAAAAAGGAACCTCATCTGCTTTCAAAGATGTTTCGAAAATAATTTTTATTCGAAGTTGGCTGATCGGGAAAGAAATGCATGTATTTATGAATGATTGTTGCTGATTATTTCTATAACAGTTAATGATTGGATTTAATATTAATACTACTTTATTGAGTCATATAGTCTTATTTCTTAAGTCCACTAAATTCTGTAAATTAAGGAGGTAATTCTATTGTATAAGCAATTAATTTAAATTTAGTCTCTGTTTTGTTTGGTAATATTTGGGGTTTTGTTTGTTTGTTTTATTATTTTTTAAATTTTGTTTACAATGTTACATTTCTCCAATTTGTGTGTTAAAGTTAGCCAATAACTGTTGTCGTATATTGATATGATGTAAATTAAAGAGTGGTGGCTTGGGGACTGGTGTCTGGGTGTAGCGGAAACAGTTTTATGTATGTTGGAGTTTATACGTGTTTGTATACATGAGTGTGTATTTAATGTATCCACACATTTATTTCTTATTCTTCGAAGATATTTTGATATTGTGTGTGTGTGTATGTGTGTGTGTTTTTTCCTAAAATACTGGACTTTATGGTTATAACTTGTCTGTCTGTAGTTAACTTGATTACATGTATAAACATTTCAATTTCCGTCGTTTCATTTTTTTTTATAAATATTTTATTTTAATTTTACAAATCACATAATCACTCATGACCCCTAGTACTAATATTAGTACCTTAGTCCTTTTGTGGACACGGTACTAACACGAGTCTATGTGTGTTACTGGAGCAGCCGGGTGTGATTCACACCCGGCTCTTTGTTTAGCCTAATATTAAAAATTTTGAACATGTTTTTTGATATATTATGAAATAAATTAAGTAGTCCTCTTTTTTAATACTGGAATAATCGCAAATCATGGTAGAAAAAGTGGTAAAATCTCGTTTAACTTTTTTATCCGTTATTTTCGTTTTGATCGTCCGCCATATTAGTTCAAATAATGCCTACTTCCGTTCTCAGCCTCGTTTGTTTGTGTGTCATATAAGGACGTTAATGCCTTATTTGGAAACATAAACAAATCGTAGTAAAAAAAAATATGGGGCGGTTTTGAGTCGGAAATTCTGCGCATTAAAAGTAAATACGGTTTTCTGGTGACTTTGAAATTCCACCAAGAAGCAATTATTTTCTCAACAAAACCGTATTCTGCAATTTATGCAAGTATCCATCTTCTCGCGTTATGTCATTTAACAAGTAATGCCATAGCGTAGAATATCCATATATAGTCTGACAAGCCTTATGTAGAAAAGGGGTCACGGCGAGAATCTCGTGTTATCTGTCATGGTGGACACGGTGAGGTTAGCATAACTATACCAATTTAGTTTACCGCGTAAGTGCTTAATAAGTTCAAAATAAGCCAAACTTCTTTGACAAAATGATTATACTTATTTAGTTGATTTCTAAACTAATTGTGTTTCTAACTTAAGTAAGGATTTTTTTTTTGCTCCATTACATGATATGGGATCAGTTCGTAGCCTCAACCACAACAAAATAAGTTAAGGCTACGACATCGTAGCTATCATGACCCCAAGAGATGTGAATGAAAGAAAAGTGATGGCGGCGCAAAGTAGGCCCAAAATGATACAAACACAAATGAGAATATATGTAAACGGTGTGAATATGCGTGGCTCACGTGTAAGAGATAGACTAGATCAGTTTATCCTATGGTTGAATCGCATACAAAAGATTGTAACCGATCATTCCAGCTTAAAATACTGATAGACAGTTCTACGACGTCGTTATTTGTATTTCGATGCACTCGTCAATACACCCCAGAAATGCCAGAAATGAACGTACGTATTGAACAATAATATCTAACAACTTTTCTATTTAACCTTTTATTGCCATGCTGTTTCCCTACACACACACAATCTCTCTCTCTCTCTCTCTCTCTCTCTCTCTCTCTCTCTCTCTCTCTCTCTCTCTCTCTCTCTCTCTCTCTCTCTCTCTCTCTCTCTCTTGTTCTTTGGAAAGAGGTCTTTGATCTAACGAAGAATCGTCAATTCCCTACCAATTAGATGCAAGGCCCTACAACCAGCGACGCAACAAAAGCCAACTTAGAAAATAAAAATAAAAAATAAATTAGTAAAATACGTCGATAATGGTGAAATTTGACAAGAGGATTTAATTAAAATCATATCTAACAATGAGTGTGCACAAAACTTATTTTAATCTAAATACCAAGTAGAATCTACCAAAAAGTTTTAATTATTAAATGTAATTAACTACGACATACTTCTGGCAGATGTTTGGTTTACTTTTGTTTCTTAGTTACAAATTGTTCACACAAACAAACGTGATTTTCGTTTACGGCCAACGGTGCATTAGAAAAATACAGAAACGTGAAACTCAGCAAGTTATTGCTTTTTATAATCGAGGCGTTTTCGCTAGCCAAAGGTCTTCAATAAAATATGATTCCATCTCAGTGTGCAACGAATCGCATCGAAAAATCCTTGGCTGGCATAAATGGAATAAACTTTGCCTGCGCAAGAATAGGAAGTTCCTACCGTACACTGGTTTCAAAAACATCACATATTTTTTAATACCAGGTTTTAGATAGAACCAAAGCCAAAATTTCAAGAACTGGATCCTATCCGGAAAGCCTTTGCTTTCCAGGTTTGATGCATCTTCCCTATCTTAGGCTCATCGATCCATATTGTTCCACGTCAGTGTAAAAAGGATCTGGATTGACAATCATTGGCTGACAAAGATGGAATGAGTGTTGCATACATCAGAACAGAAAATCCAGTTCTTCCTTTAGACTAGTTTCACCCACGTCATGTTTTTGTTTTTGTCTTTTTTTATAAAAAAAAAAAAAACTTTAATGCCCAAATCGAGCCTATATACACTTCATTTGCCTTCGAAAACAGATCGCTCGGCTCTCACTCAGAGTGTATCACAGACCTTGATGTGGCTGATGTGAGCAAGTCCGGTCCAAGTATGTACTGGGCCCAAGGTGATTGCCTCGTTCGCCTTGCCCTAGGGCCGAGCCTGGATGTGACCTGCCTTCCACGGCTTATTCGACATTTCCATAAACTGTGTACATGTGATTTTTTTTCAAAAATGTTGGCATTTGCAAATGACGTGGGGAGAGTGACGTTTTGTTCACTTGCAACTGCGGCTCGACTAATATATTATCGAGCCTTGTTTTGCGTTTTAAAAACAATATAGAATATCAGTGCTAATATTCTAATAATTATTAGTGTAATTTACAACTCTTAAGTTACGCTTTATTGCGGTTTCATTCATCATTATTAACTACGGTTTCGTAGAGATCCCCAAAACGAGTGACAGCTTGGTACAGAATCAGTTCTTGCTATCCATTTGCACATTAAAAAAATATGTATTCAGAGTTTCTCCGATTTTTTTATAATGCTTCTTGCTCAACATAAAAAAACACGTAATGTCATTTTTTATATGGCTTTATCAGAAATAATGTTTTGTTTTTAGGTAGAGTCTGGAAATAGAGAATAATCTATCCAATTTTCCATTTGGAATGGAAGACGTTGCGATTACTAACACCAATATCATCATCCTCATCGTCATCGTCATGATGTCATCGTCGTCGTCATCATCAGGAGTAAAAGTGGTATACTAACATAGATGACCAAAGCAGTGAGCTATTGAAAATGACTATATGTTGGTACTGGAAATACCATCTTGGTCCCTAATAATACCGCAAGGTCAATGATCCGAAAACATCGTGGAAATACGAGTAGCCGCCATAGTTTACAAACTGACGCCACGTGCACATGACATCATACACGCTTAAAGCGATAATTACTCCTAATCATTTAAATGGCTTATTCTTGGCTGAAATACTTCAAGCTTTATTTCTTCAAGCATGACCTCACAAAAGAACTTTATTTTAATGAACTTGCGCAAATAATTTTGCAATGAACCATAATGCTTCAAGCTATTCCTCAAGTGTCTATGGCGTTCCTCTTGAAACTCAAATGTCACCACAAGCTGAAATTAACCACTTCTTTTTAGAAATGCGCTTTTGTTTGTATCTAATTTTACAATGGATTCACAACAAGTGAAGTAAAACGTTGTTTCATAGTTTCTTTTAGCTAGCAACTTTAGAGTACATTAGCTTTGAAAATGTCAAAGAAAATTAGCAACGTCCTATTAATTATGGTGTTGCAATTGTTGTTATAGGGTTTAGCGTCATTTTCAGCACAAGATAAGCTATATATGGCGGACATTTTA